TCGGCGTGGGTTTGGCTGCGCATCGGTTTGCTCGGGGGTTGTGGAGAGAAAGTAATCTAGCGAGGGTTGACCCTGGTCTTGCCATTCATTTAACGCTTTTTTTTAACCTGCTTCCCCTGGCGACTGGGTAAGGTTGTGCCCTTTAAAATCGAAATGGTTTAAGGAAGAATAACTTGGAAAGTTGGAATTAAAATTTACCTCAAAGTTACGTAACTCCCAGCTGATGCTGAATGCAAATCAGACTGAGCCAGTAGTGTCACTAATCACAAGTGTGCACTGAGGTCACAGCGTTCCAGTTTTTGTCCAAAGTTAATATAAACCGTTCAGCAGCACAATGTCAGAGAATAGCATACCTTTTGTTAAAGTGGGCTTCTTTATGTCATTATATTTATCAATGTGGCTTTTTAATTGATTTTGACTTCAGCATGTGCTCCTGCTTCCAAATGCATATGTCTTAGAAATAAAATCCAAACTATAAAAGAATAAAAATGAAAAATAAGTTGCTAAATTATTTTAGCCTCGGTGAACTCTCCCGCAGGAATGAATCTGAGGAAATCTGTGCTCTTTTGCTGGTAGTTAGACTAGATGATTGTAGGAGTTTTCCCTAATCCATACAATTTAACCACTTGTTTCAAGGCATCGCTTTATTGGGCTTTCTGGTGAAGGGTAAGTTTTTGTGTATTGTGTGTACTTCTTAGGGAGGTCAATGGGAGGCTGAAATACTCTAGGAATTCATTTTTCTGCAATAAGAGATCCTGTTGTTTTAAGACATAGGAGAAACTCGTCAATTTCAAAATGTCATCAGTCAAACGCTTGGTTTATGCAGTCATCCATTTCTTGAGAGAGCAGAGTCAGATGGATACTTTCACTCCAGATGAACAAGAAAGCTTGGAAGGTAAGTGATAAAGGTGCTTATATATATATATATATATATGTATAATACCTACCCATGTGTTAAATTGCTTGATGTATATTATCATAGAAATTAACTGGAGTGACCTAACTGAAACTGCCACCAAATATTATCTGTGAATAAGATCATGGTCTTAATGTTTCTGAGATTATTAATTTTAAAACATTTCTCACTTAAAAAATGTTCTAAAGTTACGAAATGTGTACTACCTTAATTTTGAGCAACAGATACTTTGAATCACATCAAGTAGTGCTATAATGCAGACTATGGTAATGATTTGTGTATGTGTCCCACAAATTTTTGCCTGCTGATTCTTTTTCTCTTTTATGTTTGGTTTCTTTCCGCATTTTGTGTCTGATAGTAGCTATGCTGGCCTAGGAGGAAGTAAAACAGTTACCATATATTGGTTTTGGTATATGGGAAGAACTCCTGTTTCATACTTGCAAGAATTCCATGTAATTTATGAGGGAAGGCTAAGAGATCCTAAGAATACGGAAAATAAAATAAATACTTTGCATTTCTTTTTCACTTGAATAGTGTTTCCAAAGAGCGCATGACAGTGAATATTTTCAGTATGGTATAGTTTCTAGCTAGACATAGCTACAGAAAGATGGACTTTGTTGACAGACATTCATTAAGTCTTTGTAACTTCATAGTATCTGTCTTTCTCCTTCATACTGCTCTTACTCCTTTTCCCTAATTCCTGGAGGCTTCATAGCAGGTGGTATCACAATGTGGAATTAAGCAAGAGAAGAACAAAAAGTCATAATTCTGCAATGAGCTTTTCATAGCATCTATTTAAAAGACCTTTGCACTGTTTCAAGCAGTCTTTGGTTGTATTACTCAACCAGAGGAGGAATTTGGAGGTAAGAGGGGGAAGTCTAGGACCAGCAGTGCAATAAACAACATCCAGGCAGTTGATCACTGAGTTACCTGAAATCTGAGGTGTGGAGAGTAGACTTTCCTGAAGTGCAAAGCAAGTCCTGCTTCTCAGAGGCATAAACTTAAAAAGATAAACCTGTAGTGTGCTTCCTTCCAGTGTCTATTGGTTTTACAGTGTACTCATTCACTAATGTAAGCTAGAAAGAAACATTTCTGTCATGATATTCAAAGGATACTCCCAAAAGAATAAAAGCCAAAAGATTTGGTTTTACATCAGAATCTGGAACATTTTGTACATTCGAAAAGTGGTAGTCATCTATAAGTTTAACCTGTATCAGATTATGATGATGTTCAGCTGATGAAAGAAAGCAATGTTTTTGGAAATCATATAATGAGAGATTAAGAGTATTCCTTTTGGTTTTATAATAAAACAAATAAACATTGGGTTATGACTGAAAATTTACCTGATAACATGTTTTAGAGCTGCCTTAGCCAATGTCTGTATGAAGGAATCAATTTTAAGATTCTGTTTTCTGAACAAAAAATATTATAAAAGCTCAGTTGTGCTTAAATGCTGATGTAAAATTTACCATTTTAATACAGATATGAAATCCTAATTTTAGAGCTGTACCCTGCCAAAAGCATGGTACCATATGCTATGTGTTAGAGGATAGGAGGCGGGCATTCTGAATTATTGAGTCATTTTAGTTGTGCAGAATATCTTTAGTGCATGTAGAGTAGCAATAGCCCAAGTCCCACCCATTGAAGTGTTTAATGTTAGGTGGAGACATAAGGGATGAAAAAATTTGACTGATGTTTTTCATTGGTACCTTATGTACCTACTTGGTGTCTATGGAAAGATAAAACATTGTATGATTAAGTATCTGTGCCAGGAAGTAATGTAAACAGTTCCCATTCCCCACAAAACAACAAAAAGAGCTAGAACATTACAAATAAAATTGAGACTTTATCAAAATAGAAGTCTACCATGTATTCAAACTCCATTTATATTGATAACCTGCATTCTGCATGTTTGAATTATATAGCGACGTCAATGATAGTGTAAATTTCCTCTAGGAATTTTGTACTTGCATAATGAATAAAATGCCTTATTTTGAGAACGCAGAGTGATTGCAAGGTAGATGGAGAAATACACTCCCAACAACCTAGGATCTAGAGCAGTGATACAGATTTCTGGTGGTTAATGCTCAACTCTGTTGTATGAACTAGAAACTTCACTTCTTCCAAGTTGTATTTTAGACAGTGTGTTTAAATGGCAGTTATTTCTCTTTCCTGTTTACAGTTTCTATTTTTTTTTCCTGGTCTATAGCACCTATTTCTGTGGGATTAGAGTAGAAACTCTTTACAATGTGCACAAGGCTGTGATTTCTTTTTTCTTACTTCTAAGATCAATGTACCACAATGAATTTCTCTAAGGCAGTGTTTCCAAAACAGTGGAATGCACCTGTTAAGGTGAGGGATGCATGTAATACTTGAGGTGGGGAAGGTTATGTGTAAGATGAAGCAAGATGATACCGAGTACTGAAGGGGCCTCAGCAGCCCAATTAATATTCATTATTCAGTGATCAACAGCCTGCATGTCTGCTGTGATGCCTTGATGTTGCTTGCAACTTGTGCTTGGACAGCAAAAAATCCTGGAGCTAATGTGGCGCTGGGGATGCTGAGCTGGGCTCCAGCATAGCCCAAGTGCTCCTGTTGTCAGGTAGTAGGTGTGTGTGTGAGCCCCAGCTGTTCAGCAGGGAGGTAGGTATCTGTACTGGTTTGCAAGGTGGTCAGTACAAGCTTCAGCAACTGCCTAGGCCTCTGAAAGTGGGTGTGATGACGGAGATAATAGGGAGGACAGATAACTGTGGCCTTTAAAATCAGACACAAGAAGAATCTTAGATTAATAACTCACGTGGTGCAGCAAGTCTTTCCCAATGTACTGATGATACCGAGCTTGTGGCAGTTGACAGTGCCTCACTTTGATAATGGGTTAGTGAGATGCTGGCATCTAGTCTCTTGAGATTCTTTTCAGACAAAAAACAAGGCTTCACTCCTTTGATTTTACTGGGGTCAGGTTTTTACGTCACATTAAAACACGGTGGATATTGATCTTGTCAGAACTTAATACGTCTTCTGATTTGGAAAAATTTCTGTTTTGGATATGTTTGTTTTTACACAGGTTTCTATTGTTGGCTTGCATGTTAACCAGTGGTTATTATTCTAACCTACGGATTCATCCCATAAGAACTCCTGATTTTGTTATACCTGTGGTAGATAGAATATAAGGATTATAAATTCCACTTTTCACTTAAAGGAGAAATGTGGGAGTTCACTGTAACAACTGATTATTTCATGGAAATGCTTACTAATAATAATACTATACTCAGGATTATTATGTTTAAGCATAATTTGCACTGCTGCATGTTGCAAAAATCTGTATGATAGAGAGTTGGTGTCACAGACTTAATGCCTTGAGAAAGATAAAGAAGGGGGCTGTATTTTAAATTTATGCAAAACTACAAATGAGGTGATGCATTCAGGAAAGGGAATGCCTTTAGGTGAAAATAAGTGTGAGGGGAAAATTGGTAAGTATACTATGACAAGTGGCTTTCTAGTAAGTCATATAAGGAAAAACGAGATATGTAATTCCACTGATTTTATGATAGGCCTGGTAATAAGTGCTATTAATATATAATTCAGAATTTAGCACAGTCAGTGCTTACTTTACAAGAATTAAGTTTTTCTACATAGCAGGAGGCAAAGGAGTTTAATCCAAATCCTTCAGCACTCTTACTGGGTAATTTAGAACCCAGCAAATTGATACATTTTTAGCATTTATAGGTTATAGGAACAAGTTGTATGCATATTTAGCAATGTATTCAATTGTTACATGTTATCAACATTAATTTTGTATCATACTTGACTTTTTCTGAATAATTTCTATTGTATGTTATCAGAGTTTTAAAAAAAATTACATCTTCCAGGTTTTTATTTATTTTACAAGTCTACTTTTCCCCCCTTTCTCCCAGCTGTGACGTAGAAAATAGGCTCCTCAAACTGGACTTACTGTTGTTAACTTTCAGTAATTTTACTTTTCTAATTTTGGGTCAGTGTTCAGGTTCATTAAAATGCAAATAAAAATTCAAATGATATTTGAATATTATATTAACATTGGACTGAAATGCAATTTAAATTCTAAGATTCAGTTTTTATTGATACTTAATTTGAATTCAGCTACTCCTGGTAATCTATAGTTCGAGTTAAGAAAGTCATTTTTCTGTTCAAACTAGGCCTTACAAAGACTACTCTTTGTTCCTCCTCAGTGTTCAGTCTAAAACATTTAGATGATATACCTTAATAAAAACATTCTGCTAGATTCTCAAGATGATAGGGAAAATAATTATATAATTTGAGATACTATAATTACCAGAATACATATGTATATAGGATTCTATATAGTAATTGCCATTGATCTTCTTTTGCCTAAAAATATGTGAGCACATTTAAAACTTCAGTTAAGTATTTGGCTCTACTTTTTAAAAAATTGCTTATTGTGAGTATATTTGCTTTATTGAAGGTTTGGGAGGGCCATTTAATCCTTACACAACAGAACACGTGAAAGGATACTGCAGATATATTTTCGTTTTATAGGATAAAGGCTTGTGATTAATGAAGCATTTTATTAATAAAGTGTCTTCGAATGAATATATTTTATTCCAAAAAAAGATAAGAGTAATAAGTATCTTGGATTTATTCTTTACAGTAAAGATAAGCCATTTTCTTCCAACTATTATGCCACACAAATATATGGCAGTTGTGGTGTTTTGAGGTGGGGTGTGTGACACATGCATAGTTGTATTACAAATTGTGGTGCTTTGGTTAAATTGTCATATTTTTATGTTTTTAAAAAAAAAAGACATTAGATTATTGAAAGAATTGAAATAAAAGTTTTAAATTGGTTTAAGAATAATGGCTGAACTATGTATAGATTCTGTATAGCTTATCCTATTTTTCAGCAAGTCAATTCTATGGGGATCAGCTAGCCTCTCTTTATATTTTATGTTCCAAAGAGCTGCTTTTACTAGCTGAATAAGGAAGTGAATCACAGCTTAATAAATAAATTAGCGAAATTACACTTCTATTGAGAAACTAGTGACATGCTCTTTTTTTTCTTGTAAGTTGCAATTCAGTGTCTGGAGACTGTGTTTAAGATTAACCTGGAAGATACTCATCTTGCACCTCCACAGCATTTGATAGAAATGTTCACAAATTCTTTTCACAAGGTAAGAATTTCATTTAGATTCTAGAGCTGCTCTGCCAATATGTGCTAAGATTTCGTATTGTATATACAACCTTAAAGTGCTGTATAGGTCAAAACGATGTGGAAACTTGAGGAAAACATGAAAAAAGTGAAATTTCCATAAAAGCTAGCAGAATGAGAATCTTCTGGGGCAGTGGGAGGAATTAATTTCAGCTAGACAAGGACAATTCCATATAGAAAATTACTAAACAGTGGATGTCTCATTCTCACTTGAAGGATTTTACCCTTCAGTTAAGCATTTTGCAATTCCCGGAGATAAATGTATGCAGAGTGCTTGAGGTCATTCGTAGTTTGCTGATGCTTCTCACTCCCATCTGAAAATAATTTAGTTGTTCAGTTTTAGAAACATCTCCATGAACACTAAGCTTAAAATGGGAACTTCAAAAATGTGGACTAATAATACGTGTTATCTGGGATCCCCAGTACAGGAAGCACAGGAACCACCAGGGTGGCAAATAGGAGAGTCAGAAGTAAGAAAACCAAGACTGTAGAGACATAATCAGCTCTCTTCCCCTTGACTTCCTTAAAATGTGTGGTGAGCCATAAGGTTTTTTTAGTAGTAGAAAGCAAGCTATCTTTCTCTTCTAAGGATGTTTTAGGGACGTTTAGTTCTTTCATACTTCCTTTGCACTACAGAAAATCTGGTTGCTTGTTGATACAGTGCTGCCCAGGAAGAAAGAAGTTTTTAATAAAATCAGGGCTTATATTTTAATGAAAAAAATCTTGGTTTGTTTACATACAGAATGACATGTTGCCTCTCTCAGATTCTTTACCAGAGGATGTTGAAAAGGCTGACCAACTGAAGGATGAAGGTTTGTAATAAACATAGGAATAAACATCTTATGCTTTTATTAAGATTTTGGGGTTATCATGGATAGTGACAGTATAGCAGCTGGGCAACACACACCCCGCACAAAAACTTAAGCTTACATTCTCTGGTGATTGTTATGTTTTAAGAGGGCTAAGTGATTTGCTCCATCTGGGGTTTAAGAAAATATAGTCTGTTCTCGCCCTTGCTCAGGAGGTTGCTTAAAAACTAAGGGATAACACCTGAAGTCCTGGGCAACATCCCTGAGTAGTAGAAGCTTTAAAGCATGAACAGTTACTGTCCTGTGTATTACAGATTTCTCTGTTTGTCCATGGAATCGCTATACAAGTTTCTACTTTATATTGAAAAGGTTATGCGATATCAAGGATTATGTGCTAACTGAATGTTAAAACATTAGTAAAAACCTGACCCAGCTGAAGCCAACAGAAAAATTCTTGTGAACTTACTAGGGTTAGTATTTCACTTATGTGAAATACTTTGTGTGCTCTATAAAAATTGCAGAAAAGCCAGTTGTTTATTTTCCCTTTGATAGATGTTATTACTGTTATGTGAGGAAAAGCAGCTGTACCATAGAAGTGTTCACTAATGCTACCCAAGAAGGAATCCATTTTATTTCCCCCCAAAAAGAAGGGGGAAAAAAAATGGCATGTAGCACTGATAACTGATATGAATTGTATCAGTTACATCGATGCTGTACAAATCACATTTCTTATGACCTGTTGGATTTTCAGATATTTGAGTTTTGTAGAAAAAATAAGTAAGTTTCTAATTGCGAGGCAGATGTAGGCTTCTCAAAAATTTCAGGCTAATGATGTGGAAAAAGTTCTGCTGTTTTTGCGAATGAGTTCCATGTCTGTCTTATCTTAAAACTGGTCATCTGTAGTCATGAATGCAGTCCACTACTGGCTCTGAAAGTAAGTTTTCCTAACTGTTGAAGTTGCTCATTAGCTCTTTAATTCTAAGGATAAGGGCTCAAACAAGGTTAGGTCATGTAAGTTGTAACCTACCTGCTGTGCATGCTGGCTTTTCATTTTGCTGTCTGTTACTGCTGGCTCATGGAAAGTGAAGAATACCTGTAGCACTCAGTATGGTTATTGGACTGTAGGGATATTCAGCACTTTCCAGGTGTGGGTGTTATAGCAATGCCTGTTTTAAATCTGTGGCTTCTGCCTTGTCATCTGTCAGCCCACAGGGGTTTGTGAATTAGACTGAGTAAATGAAATTAATGTGTGCTGTGTGTTAGTCTTTGTGTGGTGTTACAATTCCATGTCTCTACTGAAAAAATTGAAAGGGTCTAAAGTTCAACAAAGGGCCATTTACAGTGTCAGCTATCAGGGGCATTAGTAAGCAGTTTGGAACTGCTTGAAATGCCTCTGGTTAATTTCCCATAATAAAATTGAAACTTCTGTACTGTTTTCTAATGCTGCTCTGTCATATTAATCCTCCTCATTTTCACACATGTATTATCTGTCACCACTATCATGCTTTTCAGTTATGAGTATTTTCTGCCCTGAATTAGGGACATAAATTAGATAACTTGGGGATGTCCATTTGACCCATATCTTCTATAATACTGTAATTCTATAACTCTGTCATTTCCTCATTTCTATCTGTATGTCCTTACCAATGGAATAACTTCCCTCACCTTTGTAGCCACCAGCCTGCTCCTCCTCTGCTCTCAAACCAGCCCTAGTACTTGTAGAAATTGGCTAATGAATGGCAAAACAAAATCAGATAGCTGAGTTTTCTTTCTTGGTTGTTATAAAACCAGGAAGTAATATACCCTCCAGACTAGTAAATACTTGAATTTACTTGCCTACCCTTGTGTATCACTTGACACTTTGGCTTAATGTAAACAATGTAAGAGCACAGATTACGTGCAGGTTTTTGTAGTGCAACAGTGGCTTGATCCTAAAAAGATATGGGTATTACCACAGTATAAATTATAACAATAGGTAGTATTTTCATTATGGAGGACACACATTCAAAAGTATAACCATTTGTGGTTTTTTTTAATCTTAAGAATTTTTGCCTGGTGTTAAAATAAAATATTACAGTTGCTTTTCCTTTTGTCCTGAATTGCTTAATCTCAGCAGAAATAGTAGGTCTAGCTATTTTTCTGTTTTCCTTTAGTCAGTTTTGAGCTGGAGAGAGACAGAGAGCAAAAAAGGTACCCACTGATACTAGCTCCAACTTAGCCCTGTACCCCAGGTCATCTTTAGTTCAGAGCAGTATCAGAGATTCCAACTTTGATAGTCATTGATGGCAGTTTTGTTTTAGAGAAATGATAACTGCTGCAATCTCGTTGAGTGCAGCTAACTTGCAAGTCTTTTATCTGACAACAGGATTTAGTGTACAGACCTTTACCTTAGATCAAAGGAATGATGTGTAGATGGTGGACCTGAAGAAATGACAGGTCCATATATACATTCTGTGTATATTTTGAAAGTATACACGCAATTACAGTTTCAGTTTGCCTTCTCACTGGCAGGGATTGCTGACTATAATTATGGTCTAGTATATCACTATTGAGAAGAGGTGATTTTGTACTACCTTGATGATACTTAGTTACAGATCTGGTTTTGTTTATTAAGCTCTCCATGTTCACAAATAAATGCAAGTATAGTTGTTTTCAGTTACTACAGGCACCTGGGACTGCTTGCTCCACGGTCTTTTGCTTTCTGTCAGAGACAAAATGTTGCACTCGCTGAACTTTTCCAGCCTTTGCTTATGCAGTTACCTACCTCTGTAGTAACCTGTTGACCTATCCCTTCTTTTGCTTATTTTGGGAGAGGGTTGAAATATTTTGCCAAAATACAAGGAAGTCAGTGGAAGTCTCTAATTTTCCTGACAATTTCTTGACATTGCTGGGAAACCAAGGCTTCTGTAGGATCCAGCAGGCCAAAGATCCGTAGTCGCAGGACCAGGGACAAACTTAAGCTTGGGCACTCTGATCTAGGACTTTTTCTCTACTACTCTGTCATCAGGAAAGAAAGAAACTATCAGGACTGCCCTGTGTTGGGGAGGAAAGAATGTGTAAGATATCTTTTGTTTTGAAAGACCTTACTCCAGAATTTTCTTTCCATAGAAAAGTAATATTTTTCTATTTTTTTCACTGGACTTAAAAATACGAAAAATGAAACTTTGTTATAGAGTAGAAGTTCTGAACTTCGGTGAGAAATGTTACCTCTGAATCATTTTAGATTGCCTGTGCTATACATACTTTTCATTATCTTAATGAATTAATTATGTGGCATCACAAAAGTGGGGCTTATATGCTTAGTTTTGCTTTTGTTTGGTTTTCCATGTTTCCATGGATACTTACAAGCAAGTTGTTGGGACATGTGAGAAAATGAGACCAAAAAGGAATTAACATATATCCTATTGGTTTATGAGGCTTGCAAAGATAGTTAAGACTCATTCATCTGTATTAGAGTGGAACTGCAATTACAATTACACTTCTCAACAAAGGCATCTTTGCTTAACAGCAGAAACTAGCTGGAAGGTGTGAAATAGCAAGATGAGAAGGGGAAGGTTTATGTGGTGGACTACAATGTACATAATAAATTTTACAGACATAGTACATATTTTTATTGGCATTATTCCGTGCCAATTCTATTTAAAAGAATGTATCTCAAAAAACTACCTTATATAGATGCTATAATGTGGCTGCTCTATTTCTTTCATACGTAGCACTGTATCTTTTAACTACTTAAGAGCTTTTTATAATTTATTTCAGGTAATAATCATATGAAAGAAGAAAATTATGGTGCTGCAGTGGATTGTTATACTAGGGCTATAGAACTGGATCCAAACAATGCAGTCTATTACTGCAACAGGTAAAAATAAAACTTACAAACTTTTCATTCCCAAGCTTCATTAATATTATTTTAAAGATAAATTGTGAAGTAGATCAAAACAACATGAGGCTAGAAAACCCCACTATTCAGAAAATTATCATGTTAAATTTGTAAAAGATGTAAAGCAAAAGTGAGCTCATTCAGCATATCTGTATCAGTTAAAGGTGTAATATGGGCTTTAAAGTTACTTGTAACACTTGAGATCAGGTTTTTGTGAGTTAGGTTGTCTATATTAAATCATAATATAGGCTGTGACCCAGTCTGTTGAAAGTAGTAAGAGCCTTTTTTTCTGGTGTTCTAGTGATACAGCTGCCATCTCTATCTCCCCTAGTATTGACTTCCTCTGGAAAAAATATCATCAATGTGGGAATACCGTTTTGGAGATTTCAAGCACTGTGTAAATACTCAGCATTTTTACGCATGACCTGTTGAAAAATAAGACGACTGCTGTTGTAGTTTCATTGTATAATCTATTCTTCACCATAGTGAAGACATAGTGACATGGGACCAGATGAAGTCTGGAAGTGCATGTTAACCCAGTAGCAGAAGTATGCTCTTTCAATATACTGCCCAGAAGACCAGCATAATTGCACAGGCAGTATGGTCTATGAACCCTACTGGATAGTTAGCCTGCTGCTAGAGCCGCTCTGCTCTATACTCTTCAGTGCCTCAGTTACTGGAAGGATATATTAACTTAAGTGCTGTCAATCTGGCCTTGTGGCATTGTACCCAGTGGATTTTTCTATTTTTGGAGCTGTGCTTCCATTACTCCAGAGTTGAGTTTGTGATAAAAGTGAAAGATTCAGTGTTTCTTGGCAAGCATACAGAGAAAGGAAATGCACAGTTTACTAGTATTTTACATCTTTAGGACTTTCAAAGTGTAAATCATCTATTTTCCTTGAGAAAACTGATCACCTAAGTGATTTTAGGTATAAAATGGAAATATAAGAAAACCAGATTTAAAAGCCTCCCAAAAGCACCGAAAGTTTCCTCAGTAGAATGGGCTTAAGCACCAAATCTGTAATTGGCAAGAGTAGAAATACATCACTCTGTGTGTTACATCATCACATATCACATTTGTGAGGACCAAAATGAATCGATGTCAGGAAGCACAGTATTGTATGAAGTTATTTAAAAGAAGACGGGCAGTTGCTTGGAGTTTTGTGGGTGATGTGATATTTGAATATAGGCCTTATTCTTATCTTTCTTAAGCTAGTTGGGGAGCAATGGAGATGTATTGCCTTCAACAATATTGCTTTTTACTCACAGCAGTGAGAAAAAGAGAGAGCTGAGATGGCCTCGAAGTTTTAACTGGCCATGTAAATTTTTTGTAAACGTGGAGAAAACATTTTCTGTTCAAACACATGAGAGACTAAGCATTGTCTCCAGCTTTTATCCATACATCTTCACTGGCATCTGTGGAGTTGGACAACTGTTATGCAGCCTAAATATTTAAAATATGTAAGTAGTCCCATTCAGAAGAGATTTTAATCAAAGTCAGAAAAAACATGCAATTTGGAGGTTATCACAGGAGAAAGGATTGAATGTAGTGATGATTGTAGCATCTAGCATTCCTAATAAAAAAGAAGAATGCTTTATGCAATGGAAATATTGTCATTTCTACTTAGTTTTTTAATCAAGGAAGAACCAATTAGAGTGTTTTGAGACCTTGCAAACTGGGGAAGTTTTGATTATTAATCTGTTCCAATGTCCTTTTTAATTTGGGCAAGTCTTTAATCTGATGTATAAATGTCTGCAACATTTCGTATTTCTCTGGTATAGAGATGCAATTGTAACTTAGTAATTCAGAGATTATTGAGAAATGTTATCTTGATTTACTTGCAAGCATGAGCTGCTTGCTAAAAAATTGAGCAGGGAAAAATCACAGCATTCCTTTGAACGGCAGTAAAACTATACTTCTTGCTGGAAAACGCCAATTGTATAAAATACTTCTGCTTAAACAATGATTTTATGTAAACTACTACTTGAGAGTTTCACTTCTTGTAATAGGTTTTATGATGTATTTTGTGCATAGTCATATGCTGGATCTAAACCAGTTCCTTAGAATTATTTATCCTTTGTGTCCTCAAAGGTGAGTGCATGTTCTCCAAAGCCCTAGTCTAGCAATGCACTTAAGCACATACTTAATTCAGAACATTTGCTTGTCCTACTTAACTGAGGAAAGCTGAGGCATTGCCTAAATAGTGAATGAAAAGTCAGGAAGATGAAACAAGTCTTAAAGTTAGTCATGGACATGTGAATATCCAAGATTGGGTTTTTTTTTTCTTTTATGTTTTTTTTGACAAAGCTCTCTCCCTTCCCTCCTGTCTTCCTCTTAGGGCTGCTGCTCAAAGTAAGCTCAACAACTACAGTGAAGCAATAAAGGATTGTGAGAGAGCCATAGCAATAGATCCAAAGTACAGCAAAGCATATGGGAGAATGGGGTAAGCTAATACAAATCTCAGTAAACACTGAAGACCCAAGTGTAAATCACCATAGATTTTCTGAAATAAGTGGAGCTAGGTTGTTTTACTTAGCTGACATTCTTGTTCTGAAAGTGTAGCAATTTTCTGAAGATGACTCTATCAGGCTGTCAGCTTTAAGTTTTATAAACGTGGTTGATCTCAGCATTTTCATATCAGATTTCACTAGTTTGCAATTTTTTTTCTTTCAGTTTATCAGCTTTGCAAATTTAGTTTAGAAAGTCATGATGTGTTTTTTCTACCTCCTACCTAGTTATGAGTAATCAAATTTCTGCAGTTGAAACAGTGAATCTGTTAATGATGCTGTTAGAGAACAGAATCCTAAAAGTACTGGGGCTTCACACTAGCAGGAACAGAGGCTTAATTTCTCTGTTCAATACCTCTTTGGAAGCAGGTATTTTAGCAGGACTAAGCTATGTCCCTTCGGTAGTTTTTCTCAGTCATGTCTGAGAGATTAACAGTATACCCTCTTTAGGTGGTGGGTCTGGTTAAGTGCTATCTGAAAAAAATGTCAGGAATGTTCTGAATGGGATATCTACTTGAGTGAAGGGCCATTCTTCCAAGATGTGCAGCTTTGCATTTTCAATCATCAAACATGTTGTGGGTGTGGGCTGAATGCTGCATAAGGCTTTTGTGGTTATATCTATACTAGTAAATTAAAAAATGCTTGGGATTGTTTGTTGGGTCAGCTGGCACCAAATGGCCCATGTCCATGTTATTAAAATCTAGTTTGCAGTATGGAGTGGCCACATCCAAACTGCCTATTGCTAAATTGCATTGGCCTGTCTTAAATTCTGAACCATGCCCCAAAATTGTCTGGGATAATGCTTGTTGGCCTGGGATAAAACCATGCCAGGGGGCATTTATTTAAGATCAAAGATGATGGAATTCTATTACTTGAAAACTTTCAACAATACAGTTTATTTTACTAATATAAATGTAGCCTGACTGGCTTTTGAGATGATTAATTCCCTTTGAAATTTTAGGGACTGTTGAATTGGTTTTGTCCTATTTAACTCTCTTTAGATCATTTCTTGATATAGCACAACCCAAGATCCCCGTTTCAGTGAGATGGAGGAAAGCTACAGGCTGATTTAGTTGGAAATTAAAGGTTATTTTAGAGTTTCGGGTGTAAGACCAGTGTGCCTTTTGATACACAACGTAAGTGGGATCATTCTCGGGCAATCAAGCTTCTCTTTTTTTGATTGTCTGGTTGTTTTGATAGAGGATATATTTTGAGCTACAAGTCATTGCTTAACTTGGCAGATGGATATAATAATACATTTGGCATAGGCTGAATGAGGAAACAGTGCTTGTTTAGTAATAACTGAAAAAACCAAGTGCAGAAACCACCTTCTCAACAAAAAGTCCTCATGAGAAAGCTGTGTTTTCTGACTGCATTATGCAGGCATATCAGTTTTTCTCAGGATTTGACAGAAACTCTATACGTCACAGAAAGATGCGGAAGTGCCACAGAAATTTTCAGAGATGGGAGCCATGTAGAGAGTGAAGTGATACTTCCAGCATGACCCTGAGAGAGCACTTGTCTGGGTAGGAATTGTGAGCAAAGAAACTGTCGCCCACTATTCTGACTTGTACTGTGTTCCAAGAAGCAGAATTTCACATGCTTTCTCTGTAAAAAAACATGATTGCATCACAGAAATACCAGATTGCATTTCTTGTCTGGTCAGAAACTATTTTGGCAAGTCAGTGGGCCAAAAGGGAGAACGTTTTTTATGGGAGTAACTGTGTTAAGAGAGAGAACATTACTATTGTGTGGATTCCTCCAGGAGCATTACTGGTAAATCCTTGAGTTTCATACTGTTACTGAGTTCATCATCACTGAGAGTAATGACTGTGACTGATGTATCTAACACACTGAGCTCTCTTGCCTGAGATAAAAGACTAAGGTCTGTTAGTTGGCATTAGCACAGGCTTATCAACCCAGTCTGTGTAGCTCAGCACATACCAAAGGGGGACCGGAGTACTAAACAGCTGAATGTGGGTTACACAGATCTTTCACAAAATGTGGAAAAGATCAGTTTAGTTTTGTGGTCAGTATAAATTGAAAATACAGTAGAAGATAGAATTGAAACTGCAACCAGATGGACTTCTAGAATAGCTCAAAGAAAGATGATGTTTTAAATGTAGTAGCTAATCAAATTTGAAAACAAATACTGTTTCAAAAGTAGTAGATCTGTCCTGTGCTCTCCTGAGCTGCTGGAGAAGAATGTTTTTCAAAACATTAAGCAGACTTCCCTGATACAAGGGTTTCTTACAGATGTTACTGCTATCCTGTATAACCCATTTGTCAAGCTGTTGAAGTAGAAGATCTGAAAGGAGAACCTTGCACTGATCCTAGGACAAAAATCTATTATGCTGAAACTCATGGTTCCAGTATTTGGTTTCTGGAAGCGGCAGAACTCACGTTAAGGGTATCTTCGCCTTACTTACCCATGTACCCCTCTGAATAATCTCTTGGATCAAAAGGACGGGAGGAAACACACAGAGGAATTCCTGACCTTATGCAAAAGTCACGTATGCTGGATCCAGCTCTCAAATACAGACTAAATCACTTGATGATGCCAAGGAGTTTTTAATGAAACTTGCATATATATGGAACAGACAATACAAGATGAGTTCTTGAGGGATCATCTCTTCTGCAAAAACAAGTGCTTACACTAAGTTGTAGTAGCACAATAGCAAAACTTGCTTTAACTTAGTGCTCAAGCTAAAAATTAGTTGTGAGATACTGTTTTACTTAGAACAGAAAATGTATCATTATCTTTTGACGGTCATTTATGTTCTACCCAGGGTTTCTTTATTTCACATTAGGTTGGCTCTGACCTCAGTGAATAAATATGAAGAAGCAGTTACCAGTTACCAAAAAGCACTGGATCTTGATCCAGAGAATGACTCTTATAAGTCAAATTTGAAAATAGCGGAACAGAAACTAAGAGACGTGTCCAGTCCTGTAAGTTAGCTCTGTATCTATTTATTTACAATAGTTTTAACTGGGATTTTGTAGGCAAACTTATCTTCAATTGCAATTTGTTTGTAGACTGGAACTGGACTGAGTTTTGACATGGCAAGCTTGATAAACAATCCTGCCTTCATTAGTATGGTGAGTATATTTCAAGTTTTATATTATACTGTTTTTAAAACTGAAGTTTTAAGAACAACTCTTGTTTAATAACACAAGCAATTTTAATGCTTATTATAATGGCAATGGTTTCATTATACTGAATTTAAACTTTTCTAAGTCATTTTACACTCAAAACAAGAAGTGAAGCATAAATCTCCTATAATGCCTGTCTTATTTCCAATTGATTCTATCTTACTTATGAACAACAATGTGCACAGATTAGCTATGCTGTTTTTATAGACAGCATGATAGTAAAACACTTGTCAGCAGCATGGTGAAAATTTCTTTTCTATTCTCCACATAGCAGTTAACAATGAATACAAAGAAATCACCTTTTAAGTGAACAGCAGTTGATTCAGATGCAGTCTACCCAAGACTAAAGTAACTCTGCTTGGGGAGAACTACCCAAGTGACCTTTCTGTTCTTACTCTTTCAAATTATCCCTGACATCCTTAAGTGTGCAAAACTTCATGAGATGTGCAAACAATGAATATAAATAACATACAGTGCATTCCTTTACTTCCAGTACAATGGCAAATTGTGGTTTTGTCCCTCAGTAGTTTTTCTCCATGCATGGCTTTCTTAGCTAAATGGTATTAATTAACTTTGAAGAATGGAATTTGGAGAAAAAAATGTAAAAATACTTATTTCCTTTGAGAACTCAGTTAAAACTTTACTGACCCTCTGGTAGCTTCATTAGGACAGGGCATTTCAATCAGTACTTCCGTATGGAAATGCACTGCATGCAAGAGAGATCAATACATCTGCTCTGATACTGTAGTGCAAATAATAGAGACAGTAGGCAAGGAAGAAGTCAGTGAGTTCTCCGATGGCATTAGTGATTAAATAGCACTGGAACTCTGTGTACCACTTCATTGGCCACATGACTTAGTCTGCATCTGTTTAGAGTCAAAGATGTACTCTTCAATATGGAGCTAACTATGGGGAAAGGATTTTTTTGCATCATTTCCAGAAGATGCCTGGTCAAGTGGATAGAACACAGGGCATTCAGCCAGGAACAAATTAATTATTTTCCTGTGGTATAGTTTTTTGTTTTATTTTGAAGGAGAAAAAAATGACTCACTGTCTGACCTTGAGAAAGTTACTTCTAGCCTCTATTTTGGGCCCCTAACCTTGATCAGACTTGTTACTGATGGAAGAAAGAAAAAAATCCTATATTACCCATAGGATTGACCTGAATTTGGCATTTTACATCCAACTGTAGACTAGAGAAAACAGCTGATTTACTTTTGAGATATATATATGGAGATATATTGATCAATAAAATGAATATTGTATATATCTGCTTTTTGTAGTACCTTTAATGAGAGTGAATAAACAGATACTGCATTATGCCTATTGGTCTTGTATTCATACAAACACTGATTTCTGTAGGAATTATGTTACTAACTTTAAAACATCACCTGGTTTATTCTATAGTATCTGTCTGTATACACCCTTACACTATGGTAAACAGAATATAATTATTGAGGTATGAGTGAGAAATTTAAATAACCTCATGCTTACTACAAAGTAAGAAGATATGCAATTACCTCAGAAGATATATGTTACCACAAAACCATGCTACAGAGTAAGTCCACACTCTGGTTTACTCTGCAACATTTTGTGGCCATAATCTTAAGTTTATACCCAGTAGTAATAGTAGTTGCAAAACTGATTTATCCAGGCTGGGAACCAACAAAGTACAGACCTTTCTCCAAGAAGCCCAATAGAAAACCTTTGTCCTTGGAAGTCTTAAGTTAATTTTATTTTTTTTTTTTTTTTTAGTTTTCTGATGCTGGGTTTTTATGTTTAATGTCTTCTTGTCATCTTTTTCATGTCTGAATCTGTAACCACTATTTTTTATCTAACATGTAGCAAATTGTCTCAGCTTCATATCCTTGAAATACATTCCTGTAATGATTCTTTTTGCTGGGGACCATACATCTCTGTGGACATAAACTTAGCTTAATTTTGTAATAACACATAGAATACAGCATGGGGGTTTTTGGGTTGTTTTTTTCCACATTTCTTCAATGACACCTAAGTAGTAAATGTGTTATAATTTCAGCTATATGTTGTCTATTCTAGGCAGCAAGCTTAATGCAGAATCCTCAAGTTCAACAATTGTAAGTATTAAAATGGACTACCATTAAAACAAATGTCTTGAGGAGTTTGAATTAATAAGAGAAAAGGTGGATAGTACTGTATTCCTGAAAATGTAATTTTGTTTTTGCTTACTGTAAATAAAACTACTTCCAGCTTATTTTCTCCCAGCATTTCAAAAAAGAACTACGGTTTATTGCTTACTGTAAAGGTCCCTGCATACCCCAATGTCAACACTGTGCTAACTGTTCCAGGATGTCGGGGATGATGTCAAACGCCATTGGTGGCCCTGCTGCAGGTGTTGGTGGCCTGTCAGATTTGTCCAGCCTGATCCATGCGTAAGTAAGAATTGCATAGTTTTAACTGTTACATTTGTAGAAGCATCATTGTGCAACATCTATTTAAAAGGGACAGTGTCAAGCCAACTACACTGTGGCCTGTTGCCATTGTATGCCTGATTATTATTAAAACTGAGAACTTCAAGACTTACTTTCCACTATCTTGTTTGTTTGCTTTGTACATTTCCATCAATTGGAATGACTGAGCTGCGTGCTCAGTTTCACTTTCTGGTTCTCATGCACCGTTTACTTTCTAAATGCCACTTACTAAAAATGCTCCTTTAAATCTTTAAGTACTCCTACCCGTGCTTTCAAATTGTGTTGATAAATTTACTACCCGATATCCCAGACACTAGTTAGAAAAGCTACAGATTTACTTAGCACAGGTTGCAACAGGTTCTGCTCTGGCATCCCTCCATTTAGACTAGGAAAGCTTCAGGGAACTCAGTATAACGAGGAGCAGCTTTTACAAAAAACAGGACCCAAGTCTTTTATAGTATAATAATGATAATCCATCTGGAAGAGTCTGCACAAAACCATGCCATTTGCTTATATGGCAAGACCTCTTAAAGGGCATACAATTTTACTTTATTTCAGCATTCTAGCCTGTTTCAAACTATTTTTAAGTTTTGCCCCTTCAGGGCAAAAGTAATTTATAATTCACATCCCAGACAGGAATGTGCCCCCAAAAAATCAAGGGCTGTTTTAACAAAAACCAGGTACTACACCTAGATCTATGAAAATGGTGGCTTTCCTTCAACCTGCACTGTGGTTTAAAGGAGTCTTGATAATTTGCTACCTGGGCAAAATGCAGAAGTTCAGAGAAGCCATGCCAGGCTATTCATGAAGTAATATGTTTTACTCACTTGCTTTTTCTAGTAAACCAGTGTTATGCTCATTTTTTACATGGAATTAATCTCATCTATTAATTTAACTCTTAAGCTACAACTGTTCTGTCATTACTTCAGTCATACAAGACATAAAGGTGTAACTGTATGCTTGCTTTTTACTGATGACATCTTGCTCACAAGTACAAGCTGGCAGCCACACACTGTATTTCTGGAAAAACTAACATAAGGTTGCACTTCAACTACAAGAGTAGTTACCTTAAACAACTAGAATGGATCCTCTCAAAAAGAAGGGAGCAAATCACTGGAGCAGATTTGTTGCTAAATTTTAGTTTTATGAAGTAAGGTAATACTTTTTCCTCCATGTTATCAAGTAGAAGTAATAGTCCTAAGGAATGAAAATGAAGATCTGATGATAACCCTTTTTGGAGTGACTTTAACTAGATAAAGTCATAATACTACAAATATCTCGATTGTGACTATACAGCAAGTTTTCTTTAGTCTTAACTTCCACATAATGCACCTTTCAGTTGTATTGGGAAATCCTGTTTTCTTACAAATGCTGCTTGTCAGTTTCTTTCACTTGTTGATTTTACTTAAAACTGTTCAATACAGGGGGCAGCAGTTTGCACAACAGATACAGCAGCAGAATCCAGAGCTGATAGAGCAACTGAGAAACCATGTCCGGAGCAGATCTTTCAGTGGCAGCACTGAAGAGCATTCCTGACTTAGAGGAGGCATGTGAATTGGAATGGTATATATCCCCAAAATGCATACCATAGTTAGTAGCAAAAGCACCATTGTAACTCTTCTGCTTGAATAGAAGACAGAAAATTCTTTGTGCGTGTTTGCAAACAAGAATAAATCTGTTAAACAGATCTATTGCACATAACTTGGAACATATCGTTTATGTACAGTTACTCCTCTGAAAATTAATACACTAAATAGGTGGTTTATTAAAATCTCTAAGTACAAGTCATTTTCAGTATGTGCATTAGATTGATCTCCAGGGCTACTGAGTGGGGAGGAGTTTTGTAGTGGGCTGATCTTGCGTAACAGCTTGATTCTAAAAATCTTAGTGTAAAAGGCACATTATTCTTATGGTGAAAATCATTATGGCTGTACTCCCTGACAAATATTGAAACAGTAGGCCTATCTGATGTGCCCTTTTATAATGATCATAAATCACTGCTGGAGAATAGTGTACTTAATGCTTGAAAAACTCTTTTTCTTTAAGCCTGTGGAGGGGCCGTCATTAGTAACATGAAATATTTTTCAACTTCATTGGGCAGGAGGGAGGGAGATGATTGCATATGAAGGAGCACAAACTGAAGAGAAAGAAAACACTAATCCTGAGTAGGATAATACAGAAAAAACAAAACGAAACTTGGCTTGGGAAAGGAAAGAGTATTAAGAAGTTTTAGGTTTTTCTACTGCCACGTATACCCTCAAATCATGATGGTAGCCCTGGAGGTCAGTATTATGGCACTATTTTCCTAGGCATGGCAAACTGTATTACATTCTGTATGTATGCAGTATTTAACACATGCTTAAAATTCTTAACTGTAATAAGCTAAAACTGATCCTGTGACCGTACAAGTAACTAGTACTGAAAATTTATCAAAAAATAACTGCCTTAGAAAGAAGGATTCTCTTTCTATTCTTGTGTGGTAAATCACTGGCTTAAACAATTAAGGATTTTTTTTTTTTAAGTTTCATTACACATATCTATCTTAAGTGATGGTTATATAGCCAAGTTAATGATTTTTCCACTCTATATTATTTCTGTTCCTACCCTGGCTTTTCTTGCTTATTTAATCTTACTCTTTCAGAGACCACTGCTTTTCTGTATTTTTATTATGTTAACTTTTTTAATTCTGCTTACTGTTCACACTGCTTTCTGGTACAAGGTACACTTGTTTTTACTCCGGGGATGTTCTCAACACTCACACTTTCCTCTTTGTATATCAAAAGTAATTTGAGGAGCCTGCTCTGATTCCTAAGACAAAGTGATCTCTGCTGGCCAGTTAGACTGGAGAAGGTATGCGGAGGAATAATGATAGACTCCCAAATGGAGAAATACACAGGAATTCCTGGACCTCAGACATTATATCTGATTCATCTTGTGGTCAAAAAAGAGCACCTCAGGTAGAAGCAAATGCAAAATTTGGGGCTAAGTCACATACTTGACGCTAACAAATGCTAGCTGTGCATCTGTTGTATGAGTCTTCCCCTACTAAAATGGTGGGGGGAAATACAGCTGGATCCAAGGAGAAATGAAAAGAATTGAAGAAAACACAAAAATAGGAAATCGGTATTACCATCTGTTGAATAAAGAGGTAAAGCTTAATAGAGCAACTTAAACAACTTTAAGACATTTTATACTTTATTCAATAGAGCTTGCCTATACACAGCATTAAAATGCTTTTTAAAATTCTCTATATAAGTTGCTGTAGCTGCCTTTTTGAGGCTGTAGAAATAGTTAAGCTTTACATCAAACACATTTCCAAGTAACAGCTTCTGACTTAACATCTGATGATAAAGAAGAAAATCCCTAACAGGATCTTTTTTCAGAGGTAGTTCAGATCCTGAATCTAATCCATTCAAGAAAACTGCTACTGAAGTTCAGTTACATTTTATAGGACAGGATACCATTTACAAGAAAGATCGATGGAGGCTGTAGGTGGGCTACAACTACTGTACAAACATTGCTTGGAGTAGTGTGTGGCGTCAGGAGAGAAGCATTGCTCCTAGCATATCTCCTGTTAAACTTCATGGTTCCTCTTAGTTCTCTTTCATATTTTCAGCTGCTCAATGTGAGTTTTACTAACTTTGGTAAGGGGAACCAGTAAATCCAGAGTGGACTGGACAGCACTGCAGTATCTCTTACGCTCAATTTATCCTTACTTTGTGACAGCAATCTTCATATGCTCAGTTACCTTTCTACTTTAAGACAGAAAGAGTGTCAAGAACCTCCTGAGAGTTCCTTAAGAACTACAGAATACAGTAATATTCAAAGACTGGCTGTAGAAGGTGCACTGTCAAGTACGAGCCCTGTAGCTTACTGGATTTATGGGAGAACTATCCCCAAGGTTAAAAGGAATGAAGCATTGGTTAGTTATCTGAAAACTACTCTTGAAATCATTGTTATAGAGTGGTAGCTTTCATTTCACATACTACAATATTGTCATGTTTAAGTTTTACTCCAGTATAGATAATATGTAACCAGAGTATTTATTAATAAACATTGATGGCATTAGCTAACCCTTTAGGAATGTGCTACAACTGGCACAATACTTAACTTGTAAACATTCTTTGTTTCTTGTATATTAACAAAAAGGGCTTTATAGCCTAAATAAAAAACAGTGAAACCAATAACAGGAGCTGTCATTACATGCTTTTCCATTGAAACCAGGAACAGAGGGATCATTTATGCTAAAGTCTATTTTGCCTTGAATAGGCTAGATTGTTTCAGAGAGTCATGCAATATGTCTTAATCACAGGGTGAGGAAGGAGTCTTTTCCTGTGTAATAACTGCACTTTATTTCGCACTAAAATTTTTCATCCCGCTAGATCAAGTGGTAAACCACAATCCCCATAAATACTGCTTTAATTTAAGGTCAATTGCAGTTTATCATTCAGCTGAGCAAATATGCATTTAACACCTAATTGGTTTTGTACCATTACTGTTCCATCAGCATATAAGTGTGGTAGTTGTTAAAGAAAATGTTTTGCACTCAGATTGTAAACTCCTGTAACCTGCTTGCATGGAATTATATTCTTCTAACTATGCCTGATCATAAAGACACCTAATGAAATACTCAGCTTAGAAATTGTTTCAGTTGCATTTTTGGTTTTGTAACAACTACAAAGTAAAATCACTCATGCGTAGTGAGAAAGAACTAAGTCTGCAGCTTTGGATTCATACACGGTTTCAGGGCTACAGAAAGTCATACTGGCAAAATACAACTTGTCTACCATTTCTGTACCTCTCCTACCTCTTACGACCATATGGTTACATCTCCTTCAACTTGTGTCAGTTTAACTTGAAAACAGATCATTAATAAAGTTATTTACATTTTTTGTCTGGATAGTTGTGGTTTTACTGCTTTAGTTTGTATCTAGAGTAACAGGTAGATTGCATTCTTTAAAATACCTGTTTATGTTGGTTGCTCTGCATTTTATTAGGTATGTAGGATACAGTTTTAATTTATTTTTTTTCCTGTATGGACTCATTCCCTCAATTTAGTAAGCTGGTCCTAAATTTATCTGATATTTTAAAATCGAATTCTACACTTCAAGATTTTATGCACAGGAAAGCCTTAAGTAAAATACTGTCAAAACTAACTAAGGGTGCTAAGTGCCAATATGGTAGCTGAGAAATATGACAAGCCAGTGAGTAGAATCTTTAAGACTAGTTTAACTAGTGTTAAACTAGGAAAGCCAGTCACCATTTTCTGTATTGAATGGCTACCTTTGGGTGACCTTAGATATTTCAGCCAAAAATATTTCCATCTTTTGTCAAAACAAAGCTAGGGAAAAGTACATTTCAGTGCTTAACCAAGTCCTGGATTCCTTCCTGCATATGCTTTGGAGAACTTGATCTAGGGCAGCCATGCGGGGTTTTTCTCCTCATTTTCCTAAAAGTCTACTCAAGTGCTGATGGGATGAGAAGAATAATTTGCACCACCTCAATTTAACAATAAAAAATGCCCAAGTTCTGCTATTTTAGTTTTCAGTTCCCTACTAATTGGGAAGTAACAGCCTATTCACAGCATGCCCTGTACTGCAGGGACGCACAGCTCTGCACAAGACTGCAGCTAATTGGGACAGATGTGCTGTATTACTCCTTTCCAAAGACTGAGCCACAACCAGCACATTCTTTGGCTGATACTCTACTTTCTAGCTGTTAGCGCCTCAACAGTGCCAGCTGCGCTCCCTCATCTCATGCCTTTACCAGGCTCTAGTTCTTATGGCTATGCATGTACCATGCAAACACACTGCTGCGCCAGGTACCCCAAAGTATTTCTTTCAGGGGTTTGGATTCCAGGAACTTGTCTGTAAAAGGCCAGTTCCTTCCAACTGAACAGTTTTGTCAGAACCACAATTTAAAAACTGTTCAAATATTTAAAAAATAATTAAGACAAAAATAAGTACAAAGTGCTACTATTTCATACCAACCTCACCCCCCTTCCCCAAGGTGATGTTAATGCAATATAATTTGCTAGTGCTACACTTTTTTCAAAGGCTTTATTTTCAGTAGATAAAATGCATATGCATGTTTTTAAAAGATTTTAAAACATTCGAAAAATGTTCAGAGAAATTAAATAAGCATAGTTACATTTACAGATATATAGGGATTTGGTTCCGTTTGTACACATTTTAATGTGATTCGGCTGCAAAATCATCAAGAAGTTGGTCAAAAAAAAAAAAGCCCAGCAGAAATACAGAATTTTTTCTTCAGCTTTGTTTGACTTCTGAAGAAACTACACAGACTTGTGCAATATCGTCATACTCATACGTTCTCTTCAAAAATGTGTCTGTAAGTCTTAAGCCAGAGACACTCTAGAAAGGGAAAATATTTATAAGCGTTGTTATTAGAAAGAATTACTGAGCTTATAAAACAGCAATTTTATAACAAAACTATGCTATAAAGACTTACTTGCAATCCCTGCACTGAAGATAACAATGTAAGCGCAAGATGGAGGGATGAACTTGGGTGCAGCTTTCCAAGTTGCCTTCCCGAAACTCCACACCAGTGGATGGAATTAGTATTGCACATTTCTAAAACCAGGTCCATAGTCCTTTCGCTGCTAGAGGAAATTGAAAAACAAGAATAAACCTGTGGGCTTTTTTTTAAGCATTCAAGGACTGCAGACATGTAAAAGCTTGATTACTTTATTATTCAGGTTACTATTAATCAAGCATTTATAAATAATTATAAGGCAGCAAGCAATATTTACTGTGATGCGCAGTAATTCAGTTGCATATAGCTTTGTCTGACACGAGCGTCCTGTCATGGGTATAGCAATACTGGATAGCATAATACTGCTCACATTTTGGATGGAGTAAAGATTTTCGTGAGAAGTATCTGCAGACCAGACACATGCTTGAGTCCCTGGCTTCAACTTCTATTTAGAATTGCTTTATTTAAATGTCACTCTTGCAACCCTTTTATAAAGGGCTACTGTAGATCCTAGTATAAGCACAAATCAAGTCAAAACATGGATAAAGACGTACAAAAGACTACGGTGACAGTGTTTAGGAGGCATTCTAGCAGCGGTGCAGAACTAGCGGTAAAATCAGACTGGATACAAATGGCATTTTTTATTCTGATAAAATTAGTTGTAGTTAAAAAAAAAAATCCTACATACACACATTTTGTTATTAGATTAACTAAGAAGGACTAAGAAGATTTGTTATTTAAGTGTGGGGTGCAGTCTTAAATGACATTGCAGCCAGTTCCATGGAATTCCACTACAGACTTCTGGCAATCTCCTAGTTCAAGTAGTATTAACAGATCATGATGGAAGGTTTTGTTTGTTTGTTTGTTTCTTTGGGTTTTTTAAAGTCATTGTAATCCAAAAGATGTGTTTCAAGTAGTTTCATGTTGCTACAACTCATAGTAAAGACCAGGTTTGAGTTGTTTCAGGAGAAAGCATTGAAAAATGAAACGAAGACAGCCACAACTTACCCACTCAGGAAAAAGCACAAGAATCGCATGACATCGTTACCTGCAATTTGTTATTTTGCATGTAATGTCAAAAGGTTCTTCCAGATTTACGGTGTCTGGTATTGTCTCCAAAGAAAGCCTTACATCGCCATAACCAGGAGCCTGAGAAGGTACAAGAATGTATATTCTCAGATGCTGGATAGTAAAGCTGAAGTTTTTACTACTCAAGTTTTCATTTACTGCAACAAGCTTGGAATAAGAGGAATTTGAAGAAAGAAGATTGACTCTTTGTGCTTTTGATTTGTACCAAAGTCACAGCAGTGTTCCATCCACTACCGGTGACCACCTTCTTGATAGGTTTAACAATTCATTAGACAAGGATGATCTTATTACTAAGTTTTTCAGATAGTTCACATCCTTAAAGTTTGAATACCCACATACAGCTCCTGAGAAGATCAGCTTTATTCTAAGACCGCTGTTAGGCAGGTAACAGATATACTATGGACCACATAAGTATAGTTTTCCTGCATAAACCCACCACTATTCCACAACCTAAGAAATAAGAGGATTGTTCATTCTCCTTGCTATTTCAGTCCTCCAAGCCTCTGCCAAAATAATTAATTGCCACCAGTTAGAAAGGCACATGATATGAACACTTATCAACTATCCAATTCTGTCAAGAGCCGAACATATTTCATATGGTCTACTAACAAACCTATGATAAATATCCTAGTTACTACCAACCAGGGCTGATTCAAGATGGTAGCCTGCAGATGAAAAGCTTTAGGTTTTCAATCCCCACAAATGATACATCGTAAGGAAAAAACAAGGGAAAAATTTGTCCTGCCTGACAAGGCTTAGTTGTGACACATGTTCCAATTCTGCTGATAGAAGGATGCTGTAGTAAAAGTTACATTTACAGCTTGATTAAAAGATATTCCCGAAGAGGTCCAGAAAGCCGGTGACTGACAGGTTGGGAACAGGTTTTAGTCATATACAGTTCATTACAGACTGAAGACAGATGACGTTTTAGAAAGCGTATTAAATTGGACATTAGAATGAGCAAAGGGATGTCAAACCGATGGAGACTTCAGACCAGTCGAGCAACATAAGAGATGTAATTATCCAGCACTGGAAAAAGGCACACATTTTCAGCTGTATTAGGTGGCAGGAAGGAATCTACTAGAAAAATTATACCCAGTTCCCTAAACAACGGGTAGTTTGTCATAACATTAGACTCTTGAGAGGTATATTAAGAAAAAAAAAACAACAATAAGAGCAGTATTTTACAGAATAAGCTTAGCAGCAATTGACCAAATCAAGACAGGATCAGAGCAGATAAGAAGGCCTAAACCAGTACATTCCTGTTGGCCTTAACAATGAGATACTTGCAAGAACTGATGGCTAGAGGTAAAGGCCTTACAGTAACACCAACAGGAGGAACGTAGTTTTCATCCAAAAATGAGATAATTGCTCAGAGTTTGGAATCAACTAGACAATTCCTTGCTTGTGCTACCCAAGCACAATGTTCTTTAACTTTGGACTGGTTCTAGTCTAGTCCTGGATTGAATGCCCATGAGCAGGTGGAGCACCCTTGGCATACTGTGGACATGCATCTGTCTGGTTTAATGTCACCCAAAAAGAATGTAGATGTGAATTCCAAAACCACTCCACAAAACCCCCAAATTATGGTATGTGGGGGTGATCCAGGATACTTGTTTGAAAAGCGCATTCCTGATCTGAACCAAAACAATGACAGGGGGGCACAGTGCAGGTAAAATTCTGGGCCTGTGGGGGAAACAAAGGTTATAGGGCTAGTAAATGGATTAGGAGGAAAATGATGGAAGGTGAAAGGAGCCTAGAAATGAAATAATCTGATAGCCCTTAAAAGGTGAGGAGAAGATGAGAGGGAGTTGCACTGAAACTCGAAGGGGAAAAAAACAAAACCAAAAACTGTTTGCTGCTTTTCCAAAAGACAGATGTTGCTCAAAGTGCACAAAATAGCTCAAGTTTCTCTGTTAATCACTAGCACAAAACAATGATGGATGACTAAAACTAATCCTGGAGTGTGGAGGTGTGTTAGTCACCACTGTGCTTCAAGTGCAATTCTCAAAGGTTCAACAAGAAGGGATGCAGAGTGAGAGAATACTGATTTAGGGAGGGGAAAAAAAAAAATCTGCCTTTAAATGATAGGAAAGGTCAGTTGAAAATGAGACCGTTTATTAGTTAAAAACCAAGCAACAAGTTTCAAAGTAACAGGAGTAACTAAGTTTAGAAAAAACGGCAGTTCCTAATTTAATGGGGTTATACAGACACTTAACACCTCAACTAAAAACAAAGAGAATGACTTAGCTGTGAATTTCCAGGATCCAAGTTTCCTTGCCTAAATCCAAAGCATTGTGATTTCCCTACAGA